TAATTTTCCGACCAGCAATTTTGTTCCGATTAACAATGATAGCACTTTTTCTAAAAAGAAATTTCACTGGGAGGTACTTCAGGAAGGTCATTTTTCAATTATCCCGAGTTTTCCCGGCAAATGAGAAAAACGGGAAAATCGGTACAACATTAAATAAATATTATTAAAGAAAATATATAAAGCCTATTTAATTATAATACGAAAATACGAAATATCCGATCTCAAGAAAATGAACCAGGACTTATAGGTAGATTAGTATAAACATGAAATATTTTTGAATTAATGATTTTCTTTAAAATTTTAGAATTTGAAGTAAATTTTTTACGTTTGGTTGACAAATTGACAAATGGTACTAGTTTAGATGTTAATGAGACTGGTACAGACTTATATTTATTTTAGGAAGACCTTGGCTCAAGGGCAAAAAGATATGTAAGGAAATGCGGCGAGCATACAAAAATACATAGTTTATAAACCAAAAATTAAAAAAATGAAATACCTGGTAAAGTAGTTTTGTTTCATAAAATGTACCTACCTATTCTGTCGTATAATATACACTTCATTATTTGAATTACCTTTGGAAATTTCCAAAGGGCCCAATTGCATTTGGTATCTATGCAAAGAAACTTAATAATAAACTGACTGCTTAATTGTTTTGTAAAAAATAAATTGAAATGGTTTACATAAACGTAAAGAGATTAGGTATTTTATAAAAAGACTAATATCCCAAATGATCTACAACACATATACATATATGTACATATTTAATTACACAAACTACCACAATGTTCAGGAATATGGCCATTGAGAAGTCCAATTGAATGTGCTTTTTTAATAATGTCCCATGGATACTCCCCAGTTTTGTCATACTCAGCAGCAACTGGAATAATTTCTTCTCGAGCGAATTTTCTTGCCAGGTCGCGAAATTCTTTTTGTGTATCAGATAGTTCTAAACAAAATATATAGAATAATTTTAATAAAAATATTTAATATCTTGGTATAAGATATTGCAACCAACCAAGACAAAATGGTGTTTCTTGTGGTAATTGACTATATGTCTTCTTATTTACAATAATACATCTAGATGTGCGGTATATATTACGCAATACCTAAAATAATTGTAAATTGAATATTAATTTGTTTCTAATATTAAATTACATTAAATAAGTAATAGTTTTACTTACTTGATTGGCTAAAATCATATTGAAATAAATGAATTAAATATAAATGACCCAATAAGACTTTATAGATGATTTGTATTAAAATGAGTGTTTATACCTAGTATATATTGTAAAATATTAACACATAATGTAATGGATATTATTGAGTCACGATAACAGAAATTGACGTTTGCTAGATGATTAGATTGAAGTTTAAATTAGGTAACCGTTTGTAGGACAAATCAGACTTTGAGTCTTATATGTACAAACTACAAATCAAAAATTTCAAATATTGACCTATTTAAAACTTTATCACAAGCAGGAAATAATTTTTATCATACGAAAAATGCAACAAATAAGGACCTAATAATGNTAAAGACCACTTAATGTGTATTTATATTTATGTTCATAATTTTATTTTTAATGTTATTAGAATTTATTAATTCCAACATCGGACACGATAAAAAGAAAAATATATATGATAATATGTATAGTAATATAAGTAATGAAATGTTATATTTATTTTGAATCCAGGACAAAAAGTCCGAAAATACAAAATATTCTATTTAATTTTCATTTATAATTAAATAATATTAGTTATATAGGTGCCGTAAATATATAATAATGTATAATTATTAATCATTTTAAAAATTTAAATATGTTTGTATGTATATATATATATATATATATTATATTATTATATTTTTTTCCAATCGGATTTTTTTTTACCTATTTTCTTATTCTTATCATTTCGTATAACTAATAAAAATATAACGGAAATTAACTTGAGTCAGGTAGGTAGGTACCTATATATATCTGATGTTCACCGCTGCTGTATGTCTACAATAGATTACAATTACAAGCGATAATCAATATTATTTTTTAAATGATTTTTGACTATTATACATATAGTATAAAAACTGAATCCGGACCTTTTGCCCAACTTTTTTTAAAACGGACTTTTGGATTACCACTTATTTTATGTCCGTGCACGTATAAATATAGTTTAGTAGAATAATTTATAGTAAATTGTTTGTAGAGCCGTTTTCGTCAAACACTCACCTGTAGAGCGTTTTATCTAATATGATTCATTAGTCATTACTACTACCTACCCGGAATTCAATTCCGAATTAAGACATCACAAATTGATAAATTGCATAGGACAGGAACTTACATAATATCATTTAGTATAATGTACACCACGGTACTTTTGAAAAGAATTAGTTATACCTACTATAACTGTGCACATAGGTACCTATATAACGTACCAATTATTACTATTTATCCGTAAATTTATTAATAATAACACCAATGGACAATCACAATAATAATAAATTCCTAATTGCATGACGCAGCGCGATGTCCAGAACACTCAAGTACGGATCGCGGTTTGGCAAAAATTGAATAATACATTTTATCAATATAAATAATTATATTATTATTATTATTTTTTATTTATGCTCACTTTAGAGAAAGATCATAAGTATTATAAAATAATGATTCAGCTAATAAAAATATCTACCATAGTAAATTTAGTAATTACCTACCTAGGTAGTTACATACCCATATTAAAGAATTATATAAATTATTATGATTGTAGATATAATTGTATGATATAAGTAAGTAACGTAGGTTTTTTAAGTTCTAACCATGAATTAAGTTACAGGTACTTAATATATAAAAATTAACAGAAAAAAAAAGACCGTAATATTTTACTAATACATTTCATACATTATTCGTCAATAGTAGAAAAATAGGAGAAAATAGATTAAGATAGTTTGGCCATGTCTTGGTAAGAGAAGAAACTGAAGCTGTAAGAATAATAATAAAAAAAAAATGTATGAGAAAAGATGGAAAAAGAAAGACTAAAAAAAGGTGCTCTAGGATAACGGGGACGGGTGCAGCTATCATTGTAGATGGGAAGTTGGGAATATAGGATAGACGGCAATTTAATCTATATCTGTACGCAACAATTAACCATTGGTAACGAAAAATGGAAACGTATAAATAGTTTTTGACATATATAATGGATTACCTGTTTCCTTATTACCATAAAACTCAATATGTGTTTTTAAAAATGGATCGAAGTTAGCAATGATATCTAACTCTAAATAATTTCTATTATTGTTGACTCAGAAAATTTCATGATCTCCTCTTATAGCCTGAAACTTCTTAACAATTGTAATACATTTAAATATTTGAATCCATTAGTACCTTTCTACTGAAATTTGTCTACATTTTGTTAACAGAAAATGAAACACCTGAAAAAAAGAACAATTACTGTAAAGCAAATATATACAATATTAATATATTAAAGATACAACTATTTTTATAAAAATAATTGGTTTGTGGTTAAGATTTATTATTTTAATAATTGAACTGAATATTTGACTACATGGATTTGTATAAAATAAAGTAAATGTAATAAAATTGATCTTTTTCTATTAATTTGTTTTTCATTGATTTTTATTGATACTATGTCCTGTCTTCCCATAATTTTCCTTTTGGTTTTTTAACATATTATTGGAGTTGACGTCATTTAATCGGCCTGTATTTTGTGTTTTTCCAGAATTACTATTCATAGCTTGATACTGTTGCTGCCCTTGGGCATACTGTTTAAGTAGTGGTTGTTGTTCTTGTGGCTGTTGAATTTGAGGTTCTTTAGGTTTTTGTTCGGTCTGTGATGGTTGTTGTGGCTTATGTTGCTGTTCAGCCTGTTGTTGAGACTGTTGCTGGTATTGCTGTTGAGACTGTTGTTGGTATTGCTGTTGTGGCAGTTGTTGGTATTGGTGTTGTTGGTATTGCTGCTGTGGTTGTTGTTGGTATTGCTGTTGTGGCTGTTGTTAGTATTGTTCTTGTGGCTGGTGGTAATTGAGATTTGTTTGATAAGGAAGTGCATGATTCAAAGTGGGATTTGGAACATTCTGTAGATAACAATTGAAAATTGTTTTATTTAATAAAAATATACATACACAAATTATTTTGACTTAAATGTAAATAAATTGTGTCCACAGAAACAGGGAATACTTTATAAATTTGTACCTTACACATATTTTTGAAATCGGTTTTCGAAAAATGAAATTTTACTAGTGGGCCATTAATTTTTTGGACATACATTTTTTTCAATGAGAACCCCTATTTTTAAAAACATATTTGGATAGGGCGAATTTTTCAAGTATCATTAATATATCAACTTGTATTTTAAATTCAAAACTAACCGAATTTCAATTGTTAAATTAAAATTTTATTTTTATTGTACTTTTATAATTTTTTTTTAACAATACATTATATTTCATTTATTATAACAAAACTAAAAATAAATTTTCTGTTTGTAAGCAGGCTGAATCTTTTAAACTTCAAAAGCTCTAATTTAGTCAGTTGTATTGCGTAAACACAGAATAGACGAGTCAAAAAGAAAAAATTGTTAAGTCCAAAAATTGAATAGTATAGGTTAGGTTAGGCGCAGTAGTATAATTCAAAAATATGAGTAATGTACAGAGTAATTAAGTGGTCCGTTTCCGTAGACACACTGTATAAACTTACTGGATGGTGTTGATAATATTCTGGAGGATATTGTGGAATCTAAAATAATTAATAAATTAAAAAACAATATTCAGAATTTCGATATGGATTAATTTGTTGTTCAAATGTATACTTACGTGTCCATTTTGTATCATTTGATCAATTTGTTGCTGTCTTTGTAGTTCAAANAATCAACCTCATTTAAAACATGTTCACGCATACGTTCCATTTCTTCAGCCTTTTCCATTAAATCTGCTTTTGATATTCCTTGTTTATAAAGTTTATCCATCTCCCGTACAAATAATGCTTTAAGCTCATCTTCATCCCAAAATCCATTTCCATCAATATCTAAAGTAAAATAAAATTAGTATTATATTATCTAATTATTTTTTTATACAGTAGAAATTTGATTAACTGTCACTCTCTGATAAATCATCGCTCAAAAAAAAAGAAAACATGAATGTGACGATCATCGTAAATTCATTGCGGTGTGAGCATGCAGTGACTATCAAGTATATAAAAATAGTTTGAAATATCTCACATATGTGATAAACACAACGTGAACAAATAAATTTAATCACTTTTATTTTAATTTAATCAGAGATTGATGAATAGCCTGTGAATGCGAATTACATGTTTTTGTAATTTATTTATTATTACTGTGTTGTGTTTCAAAGATAGCAGAAAATATATTGGTTTATGCAAAATTTTTGTTAACTGTCACATTTCTGGTCTCGACAGTGATGGTTTATCGAGTTTCTACTGTACATAAATAATATCTAATCTAATTAATTAATTAACATTACATAATATGGCCTTAATATATATAGAAGGGAGAAATTATTTTTATTTTTTCTGAAAATGAGCTTGGTAGGGTATAAAATGTATGATATATATACAACATACCAATGTTATGAAGAGAGACAAATTTTGATAATTTTTTCATTAAGTACTACCATACTAAGATTGAAAATTATAAAATTTTGTCATTATTTTGCCCCTAAAAATGATCGCAGGTTTTGCTATAAATAAACTACGACTAATTTTTAATAATCTTAGAGCAGTATCAATATAAATATATGAGCAAAAACAGTTTATGCCAGTATAAATAAATATTTTCTAAAAATTGGACATTTTTAATCAAATTTTTAGTAGGGTATTCTTAAAACTAAAAAAATAACTAGTGTGTTTGACAAAAATAACTGGATATTTGCAAAATTACCAAAAAATAACCTAAAATGTAACATTTATATATTTGTATGAAATTATATACCGTGCATTGCAAAGAATGTTCTAGGATTAAAATTTTCGATACCTAAATCAACCTAATCAAAAATAGATAGTGCTTATATAAATATTCGATGGCAATTTTAAGTTTCTATTTATTTTTAACTGAATTGCAACAAAAAAAACTGAAACTATATAAAAATTCCCATTTAACCAACAATTTTTTTTCCATAATTAAGAAAACTATAAAAAAAAAAAAAAAAATCAAAAGATAATTTCTCAATATCACTGAATCTACAAAGTTTCTTCTGGCAAAATTATTTACCCATGAAGTTAAAGATGAGAATAAAATTTCTAGTTAGAAAAGTTGTTACTTTGAGATTTTTTTTAGTACCAAAAACTGACAAATCCACGAAAAGTGGTCAGTAAAACATATTCAAAAATATTTCATCGGAAATGTATTTTATTCTAAAGTATATACAAACAGTAATAAATCCAAAAAATATATTATCAGAACCAGTATTGCCTAGATAAGAAAAATATTTTGTCTGAATTACACTTTATCAGAAAATGTTTCATGGCTCATTAGGTCAGGTATCACATTAAATGTGTTTAAAATTAATAGTACTATTGTATTGTAATATTGTTGTCAATGAAGTAAGCCACAAAATATTTTCATCTTTTAAGTATGGTTCTGACAAAATACTTTTCAGATTAAATATTGTTCTGAAAAAAGATTTTTCATTATAAATAGTCTTTATAATTTTATTTTTGGATATATTATAGCTAGGCACTCTTTACAAAAGGGCG